CTGGTATTTAACAAGTAAAAATATTAAAACACACATTGCAACTTTGCTCATTATGGCAATACAAAGTGACCTTGAGCAATGAATACTTTGAACAGTCGAACACATTTTTTGATAGAAGATCACAAAAATGATTTTTCAAAACTTTAATAGAAGATCCCAAAAACAATACTCTCAAATTAATCACACAATATGTACACATGTGAAATTTATCAGTCACTTGGCCATTTGCAAAAGAAACGGAATGGCAAAATTACTGATGCTCTGACTATTCTTAGCCTCATTGCTTTCAGCAATCTTTTTCAAGCTAGTCCACCCTTTTCTCTTCCTCTTACTAGAACTCACAGTAGTTCCCTCCCCACAATTCGATGTTACAGGAGTACTTTTGGTGCTGGAATCCTTGTTCGACGCAGATAAATTCCTCTTCCTCTTCTTCTTGGACGAATTCGCCAGCATTTCTAATGGAGTCAGTGGGCTCATCTCAACCGAAACCTCTCTAGGGCATTCACACTTTCCGATAGTCAAAGGGACTTTCACGTTCTGATCGGTCTTTTCTTTGTTACCCAATTCTCTCTCAGAACTGTTTCTAGTCTTAGTTGAGTTGGTTTCGGACTTTGGTTTTGAAGGTAATAGGCTTTTTATGTAACCTTTTTGGGTGCCTCTCATAAGGTTAGGATGCGAACAGAAATGGCATTTGTAGACAACATTGTTCTGAGAGGGAACTTGCGCCTTCTTGCGGTGTTTTTTCTTCTTCGACTTCTCGATACGGACAGTGCAGTTAGACCCTGGCTGTAGAATGCTTTCACATCTGCAAGACAAGTTACAGAATGCAATTAATTTGTATAAAATATAAATTCATATTTAGCGATTAAAACATCTTAATCACATTACTCCATGCATAATATTAAATCCCCGATGTGTGAACATGGATACTAGCAAAGAATAAATGAGCATGACTATGCAACTCTGTATCTAATAAATAATGTTGCTTTTTGGTGTATATTTTCTGAACCCGGTTTACCATTTCTTTTATTCTAAAACTAAGTCCATTTAATTTGAGGGTCGGAAACTTTTGACTTTATATTTTCAGAATTCTTATTAGAAATATGAAAGGAAAATAAAATATAGGGGATGACCAAAGTTCAAGGGAGTAGCATGTTTTACGTCACCAAGCTCTAAGCATGGAAGAATGTTAGTGCCTTATTGGTATCATGACTTAATAACCCTTTGTAACAGTGGGGAAGAAATAAAAATATGTTCAAGTATTTTATTATACCGATTTTCCGTACAAACATGTGTTTGCAGAATGGTTTCAATTGTGCAGAAAAGTATACCCACTGGTTCCACTTGTTCTTGAGAGGCTTACAAACAAGAAATCTGATAAATTTAAGATGAATAGCAAATTTTTAAGATATTTAAGATATTGGCTGACACCGATACATGTGGATCATATAATTTGGCATGACAACCGGTTCAGTCAAAGCGGACATGTACCATGGATATGAGCTAATAACAACTATTAAGCCAATCTCACTTAATAACAACTTATAGGAGGAGATCTGAGATTTGATTTAACATAGGTCTGTTTTAAAGAAAACAATAAACAGAGAACTTGTGATTAAATTATGACTTGCCCCATCCACCAATCATTCCAATATGAAACTATGGAAAAATAAAGAAATAAAGGAAAACCAAAAACACAACCAGTGCTGATATTTAGAACATTGATAATAGTCATATTTGTAATTGTGCACAAAAAAATTGAACCAAACTATATCACAATCTCATCATATTTCTTAGCTATGCAATGATGTTGGCATATATGTAATCAAGTTAAATGTGAAATTGCTAAAAAATTATATCTAAAGAAATATGCAGTGACGCCTCGAAAGAGGTCTTAATTAAGAAATGTAAGTCATAGTCGTCAGTAAAAAGTGTCATGCTTTTCACTTTCTTGAGTTTTTAGGTGGTAATTTTCTAAACAATTTGTGCATAAAACATGAAAGGCAGTGCCAAAACATGTGAAGCTATATGTTAAAATGTTACTTCAACAGTAGTCCCTCGAACCTTTCACATTTTGAGATTAGTCTCCCAAACCATTCAAATTGCTATTAGGTCCCCGCAATCATATAAGTTGTTTGAACTTAGTATTCCTTCAACTCTATCTTTTTGGGATAGAGTGCCAGTTATACCCTTTCTAAAACAAGCCAAGTTTGATTCAGAGTGAGAAGAATTTTGGTATTAAGGGTGACTGAATGAGAAACAATTTCAATTATTTAGTGACGGTAGTTTGGTAATATTCATCCACAGTTAAGCATTAAACCAACCATGGTTAATAGATTTGATGGATTTTGCAACGGAGACTATAATTTCAAAGATCTTATATGATTTGGGAGATCTAATAGAAATTACAATGATTTGAAGAAGTAATCTCAAAATATGAAAGACTTGAGGCCAATGGACTAATATCGAAATAATCCAAATGTTTATGAATGTAAACCTTTATCTTATATAATTTGGCAAGTCTAAGAA